AGCAGGGTGGATGAGGAAGGTGATGAGGTGGAATATCTCCTGCCGGGTAAAGTCAAACGCATCCCCTTCCCTGGCACGGGCCAGGCGAAGCAGCATCCCCTGGGTGTAGGGCAATCCTAAGGTTAGAGGCATGTGCGGGGGATTCGCCTGATGAGCTGCCAGAAAAAACCTTTCTCCTGAATATATTCTCGCTCGGTTTTGACCGGCTCCTCGGAAATGGACCCAGCGAGCCAGGACGAGGTGGAGGGGACGGAGGGTTCCCTTCACAGAGCTGTGGCAGAGCTGAGCGGTGCTGCTGAGCACAGGCACTTTCCCACAGCTTGCACTAGCAGAAGGGCTGAGCTAAGGTGCTGGGAAAAGTCAGTTTTAAATGAAGGAGGCTTTTCTTTACAATCCCAGCCCTGCCAGAGCAGATCCTGCCCTTCCCACCCGCAGGAAGGGTCTCGCCCCCTGCGCCCACAGCCCAGGGGCCAGGCTGCCTCCCGAGAGGGTTATTTCTGGCTGCGCCAGGCATCATGCCCCTGGCTCCTTGTCCTGAGAGAAAAGGCAATTCAATATCTACAAGAGCACATTTGGCAAAGAGGCTCCACAATTAATCTCCCCCGTTTCAACACTCCCTGTTCTCGGCTCGTAATCGCTGCCTCTTCCCAGCCTGGCTCTGAGCAGCTTCTGGAAGCTGGCGTGCCCCCTCCGTCACTTCTCCTCCATCGCTTCTCCTCCCTGCTGAGCAGGGGACCAAGGCACCAGTACCCGTGACGCTGCTCGTCTGGGATTTCAGGGTCCGCTCTCCCTTGGAGGACAGAACTTCGGGGCATCCCTGATGTGCCTCCACATTTTTTCTTTCCCAAATTCCTTGTTTATCTTCTCCTGAGTCATAGGTTTATGCAGTTCTGACAGCTTCTCAAAACACACACAAAGTAGTCTAGGGGACAAAACCAACCAGCCAAGAGAAGCGTAAGGACCCAACGCGTCACACCCCAGCCCGAGCTCCCACCTTTGTAATAAACCAAAGCTTTTTTGCAGAGGTTTTCTAAGACGGTGGTTGGCCAGCCATCAGCCTGGCTGCGCTTGTCCAGACCAACACCACCTGCAGGCAGATCCCCCCAGGAGAGCTGAGTGCAGGCACCGAGACAGCCTTCCTCCCCAGCTCATCCAGTCTTGTCGTCTTACTCCCCAGGAACGGGTTGAGGAGCTGGAAGACCGGCTGAAGGAGCTGAAGAACGGGGTCCAGCTCCAGCAGCGCAAGAATCAGGAGCTGGAGGAGCTGAGGACCAGCCTCCACCGGGAGCTCTCCATCTACAAGTCCGTTTGTGTCTCGTCCCCGCGGTGCAGAGGGGTTTGGGTAGGGGCTGGGAGGAGGAGGAGGATGGTGGAGAAGAGAGGCTGGTGGTCACACAGCTGTCGGACACCACGGGCTTTTGCTCCTGGTTCCTGGGCACGTGGCCGGTGCGTGAGCAAGGGGTCTGGTGGGGCAGCACAGCAGGAACTCCAGACACTTTTCCATCCAGCAAATAGGGGTTTGCTGGAAATTCATGTTCACGGGAGGAGTGGAGGTTGCTCTACCAGAAGCAGGTGGGGCAGCTTAAAGTGCCCGTTTCCTTAGGAATATGTGGAAAGGAGCTGAGGTTTGGGAAACAGTGCTGTGGATGCTCTTCAACGAGAGAGAACTACCTTCTGCTTGTAACTCCCTACTGCTGGTTTCATTCAGGTCATCTTTATTATACAGATTTTTTTAAAGCTCCAGAAAATGTCCGTAAGTTTGTGGACTATTTTACTGACCAAATTGCACTGTTACGTTATTCCAACCTCAGCTGCACACACTCTCAACCATTTTCTGTAGCTTCACCATTACTTTAGTATTCTTTTTTTCTCCCCTTCCCCTCCTCATGCAAGCACACCACGGGAGGATATTCTCTACCGCAAACGGGTTGTTTTCTTTATCCAGGCAAGACTTTAGCATGGTAAGCGCAGGGGAAGAGATCTCTGTTTCAGCCATTCCAAGGTGTATTCATGAGAGTAACCACAATTCCGATTCAGATCAGATCCCAACAGCCCCGTGTCTGTGCTGCTTGGGGTCCTTCTAAATCACACGCCTAAATCACGGGCCAATATTTAAGCCTGGGTGCAGCAGCACGGCCTCTTAACTCCTGGCAATCTACTAATTGCCGTCCCTGGAAGCGATGGCGTGCAAGGCTTCTCATATGTCCGGACACCTCATTAAGTTTCACGTTTGCACCAGGGACCTCAGAGTTAAGTTCGGCTCCGAGCTGCCTTCTCTCCTAGCTCACACCAAAAATTACATTCCCTTCTGTTAAAGCTGGTTTGTTTGCCAAGGGCTCTGCAAGGGCTGGGCTAGGTCTGCTTGCTCACAAGACCATGTACTGAGCCAGTTTAAGTGTTTCCTAATTACTTTTCTTCCATACTGTGTTTTTTCTGAAATAACACATCCCCCTTCCCCATTTTCTCCAGCCAGGTAAATATTCAATAGCCTAAATTTACTTTCTACCCATACAGGGGCTGCTTAGAAATCTATGGCCACCTTTGCAAATCAGAAGAAAAAGCAGACCAGGACTGATAGGAACGCCGGACTTTTCCTCATTGTAGCAAAAGGACGGAGGTAGCTGCAGGGGACGTCTCCTCTTGCTGCTCGTCCCACCCGATGCACAGCAGCTGCCCAAAGCCAGAAATACCAGAGAATCCTCAAGGTGCTGCTGTTAATCATGTAGTAAAACTGCTTTTCCACAGAGGAGCAGAAAAAAATAATACTTGCACTGAACAATGGACATATATGAAGAATAACAGATGTATGTTTTGCTGTGTTTGGAAAAAATGTATCTTGTTCCATAGGTGGATTGTATGAGACTGCACAGAAAGTAATGTTCTGGAAGCCAGTGTCGGGGTTTGATTTTTAAAGTTTACATGCAAGAGAAGCTTTATCCTTTTAACAGGATTTTCTTTTGTATTTCAAGGGTCTCTGCTGTATTGTGACATGCTCCACCGCGGGCCACAGAAACTAGTTTGTGGAGAATAGGTTTCCACTTTATATAAAGTCTCACACTGAAAATAAAGGTTGGAGTTTAAGGATCCTTTTAATTCTCAAAGCTGCGTCACAAAGAGAAAATAACAAGCTTGCGTGTCAAACCGAGGTACTTGTAAGGTATACAACTATTCTAACAAAAAAAGAAAAAAAAAAAGCTAAAGGCAGACCCAAAATCTAGCCAGCAGCACACTTCAGCACATTCTTGACTGCTTGGGGATAGTAAGTACTCATTTACTCATTTCACAAAGAAAGCAGCAGAAACAAGGTGAGAAGCATCCGCATGTTACAAACTAAGGAATATCTTGTCTCATACAAGGCAGAGACTATGCCCTCGCTTTCTCTGCTTTCTGGAGAGGTACAGTTTACCCTCGAGAAAGCAGTTAATGCAGAAGAACACCAACACAAAAATCACAAAGCTACACAGCATTTACGTAGAAAAAATTTATTCCATCTGAAGCACTTACACGCAATTAGTCATGAGGAGCATGGAGAGTAACAGGTTGCTGGTAGAACAGGACACCCTAGAGGGAGATGTGCAGGAACTAGTGGTCAAGGACTAACTCCTAAAAAAAGTAGTTTATCCACATTTAATTTGCTTTACAGATACCAGCTACCAATGCTGTTTTAGGTTACCGGGCATGCCATCTGTGGTACATCAGTTGGTAAAAACATACACCTTTACAACTTGGTGGCCCCAAGTTTTAAAAACCATTTCACAGAAAGGAAAGAAATATATGTGAAAACACAGCTCAAGAAACACACAATAGAGCAAAAATACATGGAAGGTGAACAATGCTCTGCAGGAATAGCTAACGAATCCAAACTGCTGTTGCCCAGCAGACGGGAGAAAGGGAAAGGAAGGAAGGAATGAAAAACCCAGAATTACCAGTAGAGACAAAAAATGTAGAAAGAAATCATTCAAGTCAAAATCTGCAAGTCTTTTGTAGCTGCAGAGGCAGAAAAATCCACAACGTACAGATTAACTAAAGGAATTCCCAAGACTTCTGAGTTGTACTGAAGAGGACAAGACCTTCCACACTCCATTTCTGATCTGCCAGTGGATTAACACTTGTATCATCTCCATTGGCTCAAGCACACTTTGGCAGCTCTACCGATTGAACTTTTGTTTAGATTAGGCAAACACCTGCAGCTGTAGCAAGCTAAAGACAGAAGAAAAAAACCAACAAACCCAAGTTTGCTCTGTGCAATGAAGGCAGCTAAAATGGGACAGCCAGCCCTCTATGCAAGAGGAAATCTGAGCAAGGAGCTACAGCACAGAACCGGCTAAGCCCTTTTCTGAGGGAGCACTCACTGTCTGGGTTTAAACGCCTGTTCATGGTATCTACAGAAGGATGGCCGAACACAAAGTCTACGTGTGTCTCAAAACCAGTGTTAAGTCAATATCAGGATTGAGAGGGAAGAGAAGGAAAAAGACTAAAAACAGGAAAAGGTTGTCATCTAGGATCCTTGACCTTCTGGATCCACACTTCCTTCAGGGTCTTCATCGTTATATATGTTCTCTGCCTGCAAGACAGAGATGGAGGAACGGAAGAAGCACTTACCACCGTGTTGAACAAGATTCCATCTGCTACAATACTTCAAAAAGCTCTGGCAGTTTTTCATCTGCAGTTTTTCATCTGTATCACCCACCCCTGATCTCTCAAGGCCATTTGACATTAAAGAAGTAACACAAACAACCCTTTTCGTAAACAGCCACGTCTCCAAAACGCTTCGTAAATACCCTGTAAGTTACTGCAGCTTATGAGAATCTGCAATCATGTATACGTTTAGTATACATCCTCTACTTTGCAGCAGCACTTTCCAAAAGATCTATATGGAAGGCTGCCAGGAACAAAGCCACTGTGAACCAATTTACAGATAAACAAAAATTAGGAGTATGGTTTTGTCAAAGGTCATTCAAACAATACAAGATTGTTTTCCAAAACCTTCAACAGTTGGTAATTTAGGGCCAGCAAACTTTTCCTATTCACCACTGCTCCTCTCCATCCTCAGGAGGACATTTATATCATTTGCAAAGATTTCATTTTGTAAGACAGTAACTAACAGAAACCTCAATTTCACCTTTGGTTCTCACATACACTGTTTTCATTCAAACACAGAAAGGAAAAATTTGCTTCTACACCAGTACTTGCTTTCTTTTTAAATCATAAGAAACATAAATGAGCTTATGAGTATTTGTAAACCATTGTTTCAACCGAACTTAAAGTGGATTTCACTATTCCTTTTAGATTTAGGCAGCGCTACAAAGCAAGCCATGCCGAGAGCTGTAGATAAAGTCAGGAATTATGAAATCCAGGCAGTTCAACACCATCTCTCATCTGCCACTTCCTGCCCCTTCCCCAGCAACTTACCATTTGCCAGACTTGCATGATATTATCTTCTGATACAGAACAAATTACCCAGGGTTCATTGGGATTCCAGGAGAAGTCAGATATCTTTGCAGTATGACCACCATGGATAAACTAGTATTTGGGAAACAAAAAGGGGAATGTTTTCAAATCCACATCGCAGAGATGAATAACAGGTCAAAACAAGCAATGAGATTCAAAAGACGTACCAACAGCTCAGGGGGACCGTCCTCAGCATCTTCAGGGGATTGTTCTTCTCCAATTTTACTGTAAAAAAAGGGAGGAAAAATGAAAAGGTGGGGGTTTGTTTGGTTTTTGAAGTGTGATGCAATTCATCAACAGTATTTTGTCAGGACAACATGGCTAATTTGGGATTTACCTCAAGTCCCAAACATTTAGCCGGCGGTCAGTGCCACTGGAGGCCAATATAGTTTCATTATGGGGAGACCACTGAACCTACAGACAAGGATGAATTTGGAAAGGAAGTTAGTTTGAAAAGCTGTAACATGACAGACAGTCACAACAAATATCACTGTATTTTGTATCATGAAAGCTCTATGAGAATTCAAATTGATAATAACTTGAAATAGGAATATGCCCAATACTAACATGCTAACACAGGAGGGAGGTTTGTGAACGTTTGTACACTGACAAGGCATTTGAGCACCGAAAAGGCACCACACGTGACTCTTCCCCTAACAAAGACCACATGTTACGAAGTGCAAACAGCTCTCAAGGATATTAGCTGCTCCTTACCTTAATAAGGATTGCACAAATATAAACTATGGACTCCTTAAGTAGTAGGTACGTTTTACACATGAAAAGAAATCACTGTAATTAAGCTTAACCACCCAAAACCTCACATTTACTACTTCTGCTGGAGACAAATCTCTCCAAAAACATACCGCTTAATAGGATCACAGGATTAGAAAAGAACACATAATTCTGCACACTAACCTGACATTTCAAGATTCCATGTGTAATTTTATTTAGAGGTAACTAAAGTTAAGTAGCAATCCTTCTACCAAAAAAAACTCTACATATTTTTCTTCTGAGTCATGCATGAGTTGGAAATGGCAATATTGTATCTGCTAAGCACATGCTACCCATGATGTTAACATTCTATATTTACACCAGCAAAATTAGCAATTGTTCGTTGTCACAGGATGTTCTGGTGATCCCCTTTGATGGGCACTGGCTAAAGCCTTCCTACAGGACCAAGCTGAGCAGATGACAACGCTGCAACCATTTCATTGTGCCTCCCTGCTTCAATCTGCTGCCATGAATAATCTACCTTTACTCCGCACTGCTAGCGTTTCGCGCTTACGTTGTGGTTAAAGCTCTCGACCATTTGCTTGTTACATTCTGCCCCTGGCCCTCTGGACATTCTTATCTGTACTGGAGCTCTACCCCACACAGAGCGCTACACAGCGCCACAACAATAAGCCAGAAAAATTAGAAGCAGATGAGAGAAAAAATCTATGAGTTTTTAAGTGCAAGTACATTTAATAAAACCACAGAGCGGAAAAGAATGGTTTTCATTTTTTCCAGACAGCTAAATAGAACTAAGTCTATGTGCATAAAAGATAAAGACATTTTGTTATACCTGAAATATTTCATCTTTATGTGATTCAAAGGAGTGCAACTTCAGTTTTAGGTTCCTCAAGTCCCATAGAGCAACAGTCTAGTAAAAACCAAAACAAAACCAACATTTTTTGTTGAAGTAACCAATATATACATCCACATTTACACATCAGAAACTACACAAGTATGTTCCAAGTTCAAGGCAGATGTACCTTATCAGCTGATCCTGTAGCCAGGATAAACTCACTATAGGGATTGAAAGAGAGGCAGTTGACTTCAGCTGTGTGAGCATCCACTGAATGACTGGGCTTGGAGGTGTTGTTCGACCGAGTATCCCAACTGTAAGGGCAAAACATGGAATTGGAACAAAGGTTTATATCCCGTTTTACTGAGGGACTAAGGAGCAGATGGAGAAGCAAAAGGGACAGAAGCAGTTTCTGAAGATATTACACCACTTACATCATGAGCTTCTGATCATCAGCAACAGATCCAAAAAGAGATTCATGGAGCAGGTGCCAAGATACATCTTCCACTACTGCTGTATGCCCTGTGAAGATGGTCTTTGCATCCACCACTTTGCCT